ATATATAAATATATCATATATATATATATTATATTATCTTATATATATATATATATTACTATATATATAATATTATATATTATATTATAATTATATATATATAATATATATATATACATATAATATACATTATCATATATATATACATATATATATAAATAATATATATATACATTATACATATATATATATTATATTTAATATATACATATTCTATATATATAATATTATATATATATATAATATATACTATATTATATATATATATATATATATATATATATATATATTATATATAATATAATATTATATATACATATTATATATATATATACATATACATATATATAATAAATAATATTTTATATAATACATATACATTATATATATAATATAATATAATAATATATTATATATATACATATACTAAATTTTAAAATATTATACATATACATAATTATATATATTATACATATACAAATATATTTATAATTAATATTATATTATATATATATATATATATATAATATATTATATATATGTCGTGCCGAATAGCGGGACTTGCGATCTTGGCTTAAATAAACGCTCATCTTGCCATATAAGAAAGTGAAAATTTGTGTACCCAATAATTTCGCCAAATATTCTGAACCTAACGAAAAAAATATTTCACTGTTTGTTTAGTATTAAATTATTGTAAACAAATCTAAATATATTTAGTTGGGTTAGGCTAAAAATAAATTGCTGTTATAATAAGGTTAGTAAGTTTTCTAAATTTCTTTTGGTGCAAAATTATAAGTTTTTACATCAACATTTTTGGGAAAAATAATATATCTTTAAACGTATAAGAGAAATTTTAGAAAGGACTTAGTTTTAAATGAGTTCTTGCTAATTGACCAGTTTTACATATTCGGCACATATTATATATAATATATATATATTATATAATATATATTATATATATATAAATATATATATATATTATAATATATTATATATATTAACAGAACTGCGGCTTGGCCAGGACTCGATCCTGCATTCCCACGCCCAGCACTGTGAAAACTGAACAAAATACGCCAAGCTTTGTGTCACCCTCATTCCCTAAGTCCCCACTGTTCTGTTTCACCCTCGTTCTTTAAGTCCCATCTGGGAATGGTTTTGGTACATACATTAACAATATATATGCAGCTGCAGTGAAAAATGTAGGATGTTTTCATTTTCACTCCTGTCAAAGCTGTTAGCTAATTGTGCACCCCATCTTCATCCTTTTGGACGGTAGTGGCTAGTTAGCTATGCGCGTTCATGTTCATTCTTCGGACGGTAGTGGCTAGTTAGCTATGAGCGTCCATGTCCCTTCTTTGGACGGTAGTGGCTAGTTAACTGTTCACTCCCCCCCCCCCCATCAAAAACATGCACGAGAATCCTAGGTTTTACGAAACAAACTTATAAATACTAGGTATTGAGGAACCATGTGCAAGAACATGAGCTATTTTCTGATGTACACAAACACGTTATGATGGAAGCAGTGAGCGCTTATTATACGTTATATAACTAGTATAAAAATTGTCATCTAGGAGTAATGGTCTACACTTTCCATAACATGAGCGGGAGCAACAAAATGTATCGCTTGTCTGTTGCAAATACACGAGCTAATGATATGCTAAGTTAATGCAGGGGGGGGGACATTAATTAAATACTCATACGTTTAATTAAATACTCATAATTACTAGATAAACGTGAGTGGAGGGCAAGATGGCCGCTCTCTCAACCATCAATTATCGCCTATTTCAAAGGAAAGCACTTGGATGGACGAGTGAACAGCGCTACACAAATAGCTTTAAACACCCACACAGGAACACAAGTGGAAGACGTCAGTGTTCCCACGCGCAATTTCCTGCTTTATTGGTTCATAAAGATCACTGTTTGCTGCCACGAGGGAATGCAGCTCTGGTGAATGTGTTGCCAGGCATAAATTACTCTTCACAAATATAACCACGAACCCTAAAACACGGTCAAATTAATGAATACAGCACTGGTGATATATTTTCTTTTATGAAGATCTTAAGTAGACTTGACCCTTTTTTTATTCTTTGTTTCATGAAGCCTCTACATGAATCTTTGCTTGATGAAGCCTTGACCTCCCCCACCATTTAACTTCGTTTGATACTACCTCTACCCTCATGCAGCTTTTGATGCAAATTCGACCCCCTCCCCCAATTCAGCTTCATTTGATACAGCCTCGACCACAACGTAGTTTTATTTGATGAAACCTCAACTCCATGTCAAACAGATGGAGACTTCTGGACCACAAGTGGTGCTGCATTTTTGTATATCAGTCATTCACTACCATTTACTGAAGAACCACTAAAGTCAATGTATCAAGAATTTTCACTATATTATACATTACTTTTATAAACAGATGGTTGGCTCAATAGACTAAAGAAAAGTAAACAACAAATGTAAACAATGCATATAGTTCTGCTGACGATGATCCCCGTGGTTCATTCTCAAACCTGGCTTCCTGGTTCACGGTCTGATCAATCAGGTTATTGCTGTCTCAACATAATATGGCGAGACATTACACAGCCCGGCTACAAGGATATGTTGGAATAAGTTTGTCATATTCCCTCTTGAATACTAAGATCCGTCGGTAATTCTCATTATATAAGACTGTCTGAAATGACTGGACCCTTTATTTATATTAAGAATCAATAAGTCTCTTAGTGAAATTACTACTGTCTGTTTTTCAGTGGGTTACCATGCACCGTTTACCGCACCTTCCTCCCTTTGTGTGTTATTCCAGAGTGAAGATCTGGAACCAGCCCTCCAGTATTTTTCTATTACATATATATATTTCGTGCCTGCCCTCCACAGAGTACAGTTTCACAGATTTTAGGCTTTCAAATAATTAAGGTGTCTGAATCGATGCTGGCAGAATACGTTCTCTGTACATTCTCCAGATCTGTAATTACGTCTGCCTTACCCAATATTGTTTTTATCTCTTAATATGAAGGTTTTGATTATCGAGCTTTTAATTTTATTTACTGCTCTTATAGTAACACTAATATCTTCTCTGAATGTAAAAAAATCACCCGACATAGTTACTCTCGGCTCCTTTATAAACGGCTTGCGCGCTATCGGTTTATTTAAGTGTGTTTTGCAGTGTTAGTTTTTATTTCTTACATTTTTCTACAGTATCGAAAATTACCAATACAGTTAGCAACATAACTTACTAACCCGACCTTGCGAGCACATGTCTGAATCTTAAGTACCAAAATTTCCTCAACTATAGCAAAGAATTCCAGGGCTCTATCAGAACTAATATTTTGTTTGACGCCCTAATAGAACTTAAGCTTCCAGGGAGCTATCAGCGCCAAAACTTTCGACGTTCAGCTAAATCTAAAATATTCATTCTCTGAACCACAATTAAAAACTAAAGCCCAAGCTACATAAAATTCTATCCATCCTTACTGACCCCTTCCCCACCAACTCCCATTATAAAAAAAAAAAAATTAAAAGCCTAGGGAAAAGAAAAATAACTTTCAGGAATCCAATCGGTATAAGAGTTCCAAAGACTGCTCCCATTCCTCTGCCAGTGTTTAGTGAGCCAACAGTTTAGGAAAGAGCTACCGTAAACACCGCCTTTACCTCTCCGTAACAGCTTCAGCGATCAGCAGCCATGAGTTACACACCACCACTTCGCACACGGATTGAATTTTTCTGTTGACCCGACGTCTGAAGAGAACATGACACTATACACAGTTTGACAGTTTCAAGCTGAAAACATAAAAGCTCTCTCTACCAAGCATAGCTATTACGAACGATTTTTTCACAAATGGGAAAGTCAACATTAACATACTTCGATGGGAGACCTCGGATAGACAATGAGGATATCATCAATTATTCTACTATGGTCAAGCTGTATAACTTTTAAATATTTCATTCTGGCCGAGCTGGAGTCGCTTTTATTTGGACATTACCATTTCTCAGGATGGTTATCACATACTGAGTTGTGCCAGCAGAGCTGGAGTCAGTATTGTATGGAGATTATCATCTCTCGTGAGGATATCTTACAAGCGGGGTTGTATCCAGCAAGGCTTGAGGCACTCTCACATGGTCATTACTATCTCTCCGGATGGTCTGTCACACACATTGGGTTGACGAATCATGACCACGTCTGGGAAAAGAGGATCACACATGTTTGCAAACAACAGTTTAGAGAGTAGTTAATCAAGACAAAATGCAATCACTCGGGCATGTTTATTGGCAACGTTTCGGTCCTGGGACAAAGATCACTCCACACTGGAATGACCAAGGTCCTTCTCCACTACTTGTCAGTATCATATACCTTAATATATATTTGTTTTGATAATTAGAATTTAACAACAATAATTATAATAATTATGGGGAGCGCTAAACCCGTAGGGATTATATAGCGTCTGTGGGGGATGGATGGAAGGTATTCAGGTTCAATCCAGGGAACTGGAGCACAGATCCAATTCCCTAGATCAAGAGCCTCCCTTGAGGGGAAATAATAATACAGTACAATCACGTTTCAATCGATGCCGCACATTACTGACTACTCAAGGGAAAGTGTAAACAACCATAAGAGGGACACACAAAATTAAATATTTATGTAACAATTCACACACGCCTCCCCGCATAAACATACATACATACATACATACAAAAAACATTATAGCTAAGTAGTGAGAACGTCTGGCCGTGTTAGTTCATTACTGAAGATGATAAAATGAGGGGGATGCGGGGGGGAAGGCAGATGCAAAGAATAATAATATTGCTGAGACACCACGAACACTGTTGATCCACTACTAATGCGAAAGGACAATCAAATGACATGTCCGGAACATGTAGAGTTACTCTTATTTCAGTCAGGTTCGAGGGCAAAACTGTCTTGACCACCTGCTCAACGAGGCTGTCGCTGCCAGTGGTTGGAAAACTGCTTAGCAATTACACATGTATAAAAAGATGAGTTAACGTACCTGAAGGGGTGGCGGGCAGTGGTCGAGGAGCTCGAGCATATGACGAAGATTGTGAGCATCCTGGATGACGAAGTTCAGCTCCATGTCAAACTCGCCCCCCACAAGCTGAAAGATAACACGCAAACCTTAGCTTACTCGACAAATATAAATATATTAGTATTTAGTCAAACAAACGACACTGTACACGTCCACTGACTAATTTACTAACTCATATATATATATATATATATATATATATATATATATATATATATATAATATATATATATATATATATTAATATCAGAAGTAGTATAAATCACATGAAATATACATGGCAAAAGCACATATGAATTATACACGAAGTCCATAAACATATTTTTTAATTAAAAGATAGTACATTTTCAAAAACTGAGCTGAGCACAAACAAGCACAGGTAAGGACAAGAATCTCCACGCTTGTAGGCTATGCTTTCCTAAAACGTCGATTATCGGAAAGCATTTAATTAACGTCGACTACTGGTGTTTACACGCGACCGCGTGCGCCCGGACACAAAAAACTCCTTCATTTGCGAATAGCAAATGAAGACACGATAACCACATAGAAGACCATGAAAGGATACAAGATATAATTTTTTGCGCCTTCAACAAACAAAAAAAGTCTACAAATGTCAACTAAGAAAAAACAAATTCCGAAAGGATGCTAGAAAATATGTCTTCACAGCAGTAGGCAACTCGAGCTGCGTTCTGCTACCACTAACAGCCTGACTGCCGACTGATCAGACCATCATGGTGTGGGACCAGAATTGAGGCGATGCCCGTGGGATCCACACAAGTAGATCATAGTATCAACCAGGAAGCAATAAATTATATATAACATATATTGAAGACGGTACACGAAGAGGTAAGTTCGCCCTGGAACAAAATAACGCCCTGGAATAGTCAAATTTAAGATATATAAACATATATATATATATATATAAAATATATAATATAATATATTGTATATAATATACATAAAAATATCTAAATATGTCGTCGAAAGCAAAAAACTTGCCATCGATGGCTTAAAATAGCAACGTTCACTTCCCATATAGGACAAGTGAAAATTGTGTTGCATATCGCCCAAATCATTCTGACTACGACGATAAAACTATATTCACTGTGTTTGTTTAGCATAATATGTAAACAAATCTAAAATATATTTAGTTGGGTTAGGCTAAAATAAATTGTTCTTGTATAATAAGGTTAGGTAGTTCTAAGATTCTTGTGCAAATTAAATTTTTTACATAAATTATGAAAAAAAATATCTAGAAGTATAAAGAATTTCGGAAAGGACAAAATTTTAAAGAGTTCTTGCTAATTGACCGTTTTCAATTCGGACGAATATATATATATATATATATATATATATATATATATATATATATATATATATATATATATATATATATATATGCAAGACAAGCCAAAGGGGTGGAAATCTTCGGCTTAAATACTTTCACACGTCTCCGTGCGTCATTAGGACTATGCAATGTTGCAAGACTAACAACAGACGAAATGAGGGAAGTTTTCTCTGAGAACACTTCCCCTCATATCTTCTGTTGCTGTCTGGTCTGCTCTCTCTCTCTCTCTCTCTCTCTCTCTATATATATATATATATATATATATATATATATATATATATATATATATATATATATATACCACACACAAAAGTTTGCAAAATTTCCATTAGATCAAACATAAACGAATGATGTATACACTGCTTGACTACTGTGTCTAATACACTTGATAACAGCAATCTAATTTTGATCTGCAAGGTTTGTTTGATAATGTTATTGGGTAAACAAGTTTCACTGAGGACGGGTAATTGCAAACTATTTATTATCAATACTTCAAACCGTATATTTTTTGGGTCGTGATAATGTGAAATACATTAGCTGGCGATTCTGTGTTGACAGAGTCAGGGAGGGGGAATATTCTTGTGTCCTGGAGAGGAGATATTCCCCATAAGGGATGGGGAAATATTCCTATGTCATAGAGGGGCGAAATATCCTCCTGTCAGGGAAAGACAATATACCCCATTGAGAATTGAGAAGAGGGAATTACCCCTGTTAGGGATGGAAAAAAAATATTCCAATCCAAGAGAGGGGAAATATCCCGCTGTCAAGGAGGAGAAATATTCCCCCGTCAGGGAATGAAAATATGTCCCTTAAGAAATAAAAAATATTCTCCTGTTAATGTAGGAAGAATAACCCAAACACAGCGAATAAATACTCACGTATCAATGAAGATATTCCCTTATTATGGAGAGAAAACATTTTCGTGCAGGGAGTGGAAGTATTTCGGTGTCAGTGAGTGGATATATTACCGTGCCAAAGAGGGCACATATTCTCCTTTATCAAGGCGGGGATAACATTTCCGTGTCAGGCAGTGGCAATATTTCCATATCAAGAAGTGTCAGTATTTTCATGTCAGGAAATATCAGTATTTCCGTGTCAATGGAGTGGCAATATTTGTGTGTCAAGGGAGTGGCAATATTTCTGTGTCAAGGGAATGGCAATATTTCCGTGTCAGGGAGTGGTAATATTCATTCCTGAAGTTTAATAACTTGGATTATTCTATAACTCAAGTAAACACTCCATTAGTATACAGGAGGGTCCCACTTCACAGTGCTTCGCTTTACAGCGTTTCGCTAATGCACCAGTTTTCAATTATACCTATTCTTCATTCAGATAGACTTTCTACAATAAGTATATTCGCCACTCACTATAAGCTAAGGACGAAAATATTTTAAGGTAAGTAATGTGTGTACTGTATATGTATTTTTTAGGCCTAGCTCTATCGTTCACTTAATATATGATAATGTAAACATGTTATCAATCTTTTATCTGCATTTGAAAGCTAAAACAGGCTGTGTTTCACTTCACAGCGATTTTCGCTTTACAGCAGTAGCCCAAAACCTAACCTGCTGTATAAGCGGGGCCCGCCTGTATCCTGATTAATTTTAGCTATCTTCTACGCATGCATTAAGCTCTGAAACCAGGCTTCCTTGTTGACTGCCTGGTCAACCAGCTTGTTGCTGCTAGACCCACACAGCCATCAAAGCCTGGCTGATCTGGTTCTTTATCTAGGTAGTAGTCCAGCATCTTAAAAACCTACATCGTAACATCTAACTTTTCCAACAACCTTCGCATAAATACAGCAACTACCAAAACTTTTCAACATTCTACTTTCATGTGGGAAATTACTAACAGACTGCTAGCTGTCTTAGTGAGGGAACTGGATAAAATCCTGAAGGTAGTTGCTGATCAACCGGACTGTGGTGGGGAGGTTGCACTTTGTGCTCTAGCACCAAAAGCCTGAATAACGGATTTTAATAAACTCTCTAGGGACTCTAGGCGTTTCAAGTATTATCAGACTTTATCCGGGCCAAATGTAGAAGTTTTCAAGGGGAAAGTGGACAAATATCTCCACCAGGTACCATATCAACCAGGCTGAGATAGATATGTGAGCCAGCAATATCTGAAAGACAAGCTCCCACAAATAGACAAAAACAAGAAAATATAGTTTACTGTATATTTCGACTCCCGGTAAGATCTTCGTCAGTAGATACATATACTTATATGCATACACGTACTGTACTTGATACCTGCTTATCTGAAAGAACACTGTCAGGGGAAACAGCTAGTTTACAAAATGCGAAAAATTTAAATATACAGTTTAACCTAAGGTACCAGAAAACCTTGTATTTATAAACATGGAAATTTCAAGGGAGGCTAAACCCGTAAGATTATACAGCGCATTTTGGTGGGAGGGGTAGGAAGGTATTCAGGCTCAACTCAGGGAACTGGAGAACAGATCCAATTCCCTACATCAGGAGCCCCTCAACAGCGTCAAGGAACCTCCCTTGAGGGGAAATTTCAAGGAACATTTTTCATAATTCAGATAAGGTATCTTATACAATAATGCTGATATTAACATTTGATAAATTTCTTAAATATATATACATGTCGTGCCGAGCAGGTAAAACTTGCGGTTTTGACTTAAATAGCAACGCTCTTCTTGCCGAATATGGCAACCGAAAATTTGTGTATGCAATAATTTCGCAAAAATCATTCTGAACCTAACGAAAAAATATATATATATTTCATTGTGTTTATTATTAAATTATTGTAAAGTTATCTAAAATATATTTATTGTATTAATATTCGTAGAATTACCGACAATATGTTATATTTAGTAGTAATACAATAGTAATACTATTACTACAACTAATATTGCTACTACCACTACCACTATTATTACACCTCACTAAGCCTATATATACCCTCTGTGTCCATGTATTGTTTGTCAACGAACCAGACAAGCTGTTACCTGTAATAATGACATATCCTCCTCCTCGCTAGTGTCCATAGTTACATATGGTGTCGCTTATGAGATGCACCAGTTGAACTGACCAGATGGGCGCTTGAGCGGCATGCGTCGCATCATTGTGGAAACATTTCTCCATCGGGAGCCAGAGACGGGTCATCGCAAGATTGGGACCCGTGCCAGGACTATGGTCTTGGCGAACATTATACATACATACACACATGTATTGTTTGTAACGGTTTGATAAAGCTCCTGGAGAGTGAAACGTTGCCACAATAAAATGTCACATTAGTTGTATTTGTGTCCTTTCACTTAAGATTTCGAGACACGTTTAAAAATATATTACATCTGGGTGGTGAGCGCATCGCACATCAGCGGGAGGTCAAGTACCTCTTGTGTTTATCTGGCAGCTTATAATTTGGATTTCAGAACTCTGCCATTTTCCCGCACTTTAGCGTCTTGTTTTTGTTTGTGTGCGCGTACTGGTGAGTGCGTGGGCCCCTCGTACTCAGAGCTGTGATTGTGGGGTCGATACACTGACTTCTGACCCCGCTTCTTGAGTTGGCTTCAACGACGTCTGCTGGACTCTTAACCTCGCATATTCCCCTGAACGTGTGTGGTGTACTCAGTCGTTTTTGCCTCTTAAATCTTATCGACCAGTATCATTAATTTCTGTCCTCCAAGGCAGCGCTGTATGACCCTTAAGGGTTTAGCGCATCGTGATGATAATAATAATAATGACTTCTAAGA